ATGCTCTGTTGTCTCTGAGGCATTGTGACATTTTTGTGTTTATATTTAATTTGTGATTGTATGTTGGAGTGACTTGACCATGATTTTTGTTTTCTTTGTATGTTATCTATGCCAGCAGGGTACTGTGCTCCTCTTTTGCTAGTTGACAACTGTTATACACTCACCACCTCTCTCCCTTCCTGTTGTCTGCCTCTCTTATGACCCTGCCAACCTTGGCGAACAAAGATTGTTCTTAGGTCCCTGGAATTTGAATGAGAATGCTGTCACTTTAAATATCCAAAATGGCCACCATTTGTAAACTTTCAAAATGGCTGTGCCCTCAGTCACTTTAAATATGAAAAATGGCTGCCATGTGTAAACAATCAAAATAGTTGTGCCATCCAGACAATGGAAAGCCAACAGCTCAGGTTGTCTCCCTCCTTACTGTTTCCCTTACTAATCATAGGCCACCAGACCAGTTATCCCTGAAGCCTTTGGTGACCAGTGCTGATATAGAGGTCAATTCTCATATCCCAACACCACCTGGAAATATTCAAGCTGTTCATCCCATCACAGTAGCTGATAGTCCGCAGCTCAGACCATCTCTGTACTCACTGTTTTTGTTAAGGTTTTTCCACTAGTTGATGCCTAATCCACTTCTGTGTACTTTGTTTCAAAGCTCAGGGCTGCAGGAGTATCTTCTGTATCTCTGTCAATTGATTTTTCTTTTCTTTGTTGAAGAGGGTCTGTGTCACTTGTCTGCCTATTCCTCCATCTTCAGAACTTGTTTTTACTGCTTATACTTAGTAAGTAACTTTTCATTTTTCCCATGTTGCTTTCAGGATCCTTTCTTTTTCTTTGGTTTTGATGAGTGCAGTGTAGTAAATTACTTAGTGTGGATTTTCTACCCATAAGTCTTTGTAAACTCCAAGGTGGGAATTGCTATTAACAACTGAGGAGATCCTGATTGCTAAAGTCTCCCACCTGGAGTATTTCTGTTGGGAGTGGCACAAAACAATGTTCTGGGAGGTTCCCACTCTCTCTTAGTTGCTTAGAGTTCTGATGTTATGACTGGCTAGTTTGGCCACTCTGCCAAGCTCAAAAGGAGGCCTCCTAGAGGCAGAACTCTCTCACTCTGACTGCTGGTTGAGGAAGATGTGCGGCTGAAAGAGACACAGGCTTCTGAGACATGCATGGCTGGGAAAGAGACGCAAGAGACATGCATTGCTGAATAAGACACTGAGGGACATGCACTGCTGGGGGAGAGACTGTGAGAGACGTGGATGACAGATGGTGGGCTGGGAGAGAGACTGAGCATTTTTTCCTGAACTTGAATTGTAGCCTGGTGCTTCCCTAATAAACCCCATAATCTGTGAGTTCTGTGTGGCCACTGCAGCACATTATTGAACCCAGGAGAGAGGTGGTGGGTGCTTTGGGAGGAATGGGTGGAGAAAGGGCTGGAGGGAGGCAGCATGTCTGGCCTTGCAGTAATAGGCCTTGGACTATTGATGGTAATTCTGTCTTCCTCTTGTGGAGTTCTAGGAGGTCAGAATATGTGGCCTCCTTGTCCTTTTTGTAGTGAGTTTGATGATGATATGTGTTGGTGATTTTCTTTTGGGCTCTATCCTGTTTGGGGTTACTTGGACTTCCTGAGTTTCATCCTTCATCATATCAGAGAAGATCTTCCAACAAATCTTGGACCATTTTCTCAGTGGTTTTCTTTTCTTCTTCATGTCCTGGAATTCTAATGTCGTTGTTGTAGTTGTTATCTGCCATTGAGTCGGACCCAACTTATAGAGACTGCTCCTTGGGTTTCCAAGGCAGTCTCACTACAGACGTAGTTTACCCAACCTTCCTTCAGAGGAGTGGCTGGTGGATTTGAACCACCATCCTTCTGGTTAGCAGTCAAGTGCCTTAAGCACTATGCTACCAGAGCTTATTCCTTTCGATGGTATCCCACATGAACCTTAGGCTTTCTTTATTTTGTTATGATCTTTTTTTCTGAGTGATCCCATTTCTAAAGAAGTATTCAGGTATTTGTCTTCAATCTCATTAGTTATGTCTTCCATTGATTAAATTCTACTCCTTTGCCCTTTCAATGTGTTATCTATTTCTGAAAATTTAGTATTAATCTTCTGGATTTCTATCTGTAGATTTTGAATCATTTCTAATTTTTCATTTATTTTGCCATTTTGGTCTTGTATTTTCTCCCAAAAATGTTCTGGGGTTTTGTCTTTGTTTTCCTTAATTTTGTCAGTGTTTTCCTTGATTTGTCTCTCAATCCTTCGAAGATACCTAAATATAATTATTTTGTATTCCTTATCAGGGAATTCCAAAGCTGCTTCTTCTTCAGGGATGTATTCTGGGTCTGTATCCTGCTCCCTTGTTTCTACCACTTTATCTTGCTTCTTTGTGTGGACTGTGATGGTCTGTTATCTCCAAGGCATTGTGACATTGTTGTATTTAGATCTCTGCTAACTGTGAAGAGCAGCTACGGCTAAGTCAGGCTCTTCTTGGTGGTTGTTTATTGTTGGCCAGTTGGTGGAGAACGAAGTGGTGGTTCTCACTCAGTAAGTTGAGCTGCAAGAAGTGCAAGTACGCTTTCATTGTACTAGCACTGTTGCTGTCTCCCACTCAGTTAGACAAAAACAATCATTGAAAACCATCAAAAAAGGAAAAGCAAGTGGACAAAAAAAACACACTGCATAAACACACAGGAACAATCACCAAAAAAGGAAAAAGAAAAGAAAAAAAGAAGCCCACAGTATCTGGGGAGAGGGCAATAAGAGAAAAAGAAGTAGACTAGGAGAATAATGAAGAAAAAAATGGGAAAAATGCAAAAAGAAAAACAAGGAATGGGGTTAACCATGAGAAAGAAAAAAATTGGAATGAGGAACAAGGAAGAGAGAAAATGCTGAAAACCAGAACCTAGAAAGGAAAGAATAAATCATAGTAATAATAATAAGGACAATAATATACTCATTAAAAACAGACAAAAACAAACTAAAAAAAAAGGAAAGAAAAAAAAATCTGGGCAGGGCGGGGCAGGGCACCCAGGCTCCATCTAAGCACACAGACTGGGATGGAATTCCTGCCAGCCCAGAAAGTGAGTGGGAGTGAGGGACGGCTGCATCTCTGTTCACCAAGAGGGCATGGGATATACAAGTAATAAGGGGAATATCACATCTTTCCAGTCGTTGGTGTACAGAATGTCCTTGTGGTTCCTGGCAAGTGGAGCCTATTTTTAAGTCCCTGGAATCTGGAAGAATGCTGTCACTTTAAATATCCAAAATGGTCCAACAGCTTGTAAACATTCAAAATGACTGCATACTCTGGACAAGCAAAAGTTCACAGCTCAGCCTGCCTTCCTCTTGGCTGCTTCCCCTTTTATTCAATAGCCACCAGTGCAGCCCTCCATGCAGTCCCTGGCTAGCAGGGCTGATTTTTAGGTTAATTCTTAGGTCCTAACATAACTCGGCAATATCCACACTGTCTATGCTGTCAGGATCACTGCCAGACTCCAGTTCCATATGTCTCCTTTTTTGGTGTTTTTATGCAGATTCTTCTACTAGTTGAAGTTTAGTCCACTTCTATACCCTTTCTTTCAAAGCTCAGAGCTCCAGGATTGTCTTCACTATCTGTGTTAATTGGTTCCCCTTTTCTTTGTTCAAGAGGGTCTGTGCAGTCTTTCTGCCTATTCTGCCATCTTACCAGAACTCCCACTCTAGCAGTTTTGGTGAATGCATAGATGAAGGGATGCATTCGTTAAGCATATCAATTGACTTCTTATTCTATGCATTCTGATCCACAGAAGCTCTCTGTCTAAAGCATGGCACTTATCTAAATATTCATATCATATCTGCTACATGTTACATACTGTGCTAGATACGGGACATACAACCATAAATTATCTACTTTAAAGTCTCAAGGTATTACTAAACTTAAAGACAAACTCAAATATTTACTTTATAATGTAATGCCAGAAAATACATCCAGAGACAATTTATGTAGGAAACCCAAAATCCACAATTAGAGCTGATAAATTGAGGACACTAAAATATAAATGCACAGAACAATCAGGTAGGAATTACAAAGGTATATTCTGTGAGCAACACTGCTGAACCTTAGCTTACTCGAGAGCTGAGTCGTCAGTTGTTGCATGATGTGTGAGCTGCAGCAGTGATCAGCTGTGGTGAGTAAAGGTGGAATACAGATTGGAGTCTGAAAGAAAAAGTCAGCACAGAATTGGAAGAATTTTTCAGGAAAAGTGAACAGCATGAACAGAAATGAGCATAGAAGAGCAAGAAGTTACAAATAAAAAAGATGAGAAAACACTGTGTGTATATCCCGAGTCACTGGAGTTTTCTAGTTCTCACTATTATTTTTAATTCCAAATGGAATTTTTTTTTTCTAAAATTTTAATTTGAGTTTTATTGAATAGAATTCTGTTTCCTTGAAATATGCATCGTAATGTGAGAATACATTTTCTATAAAAAAATAAAATACTACATATTCTTTATCTTTGTTTTACCGATAATTCCACCAAAATTTAAAATCAATTTATACTTTGTTTCAATTTTTTAATTAAGACAAATTTCATCTTCAACTTTTTATATAACTTGAGGTGAACTTCTGATTCCTTTCCCTGCAAAGGGTGATTGACAGGATGATTGTAAAAACCTCCATGTTGACCTCTTTATGCCCTTGTTGTTTTCAGTGGAATGGCCTCTGGCTCCGTAAGTGGTGGGTGTGTGTGGCAAACAGAAAAAATAACATTTTTTTCCCTTTGCATTGACTTAAAAATTTACACAAAATTTTACAACTTCTCATGTTTCATAAATTATTTTCCTAGTAAATAACACTATTTACTACACTAAAAGTATTTCTTTTGAAAGTCTCCTGAATCATGTTACAAAAATTGTGGCTAGCTATGATTGAAATGACACTTAACCATTTCTTCAAAAGATATTCCTTTAATATATTTACTTTTCCTGATAATATCATGTGAAATTTATTTTTAGGGCGACAGTTCCTATGTGAAAGATCGCTGGTGTGTTTTTGATGGATTTATGGTCTTTTGCCTTTGGGTTTCATTGGTGCTACAGGTAAATGAATACTTGGCAAGTGCAAGGGGATGGGATATCTTCTGAAGGGCGTGATTTTGCATTGAAAGTTTAAATTGAAATATTAAAGGATATGTATATATACATACATATATAAATATAATTGTGTAAATTTCTGTAACATTGGATTTATTTTGATTTTTTTTTAGATAAAGCCTAATTTTAACATTTTCATTATCATAGGTCATGTTTGTAAATTATTTCACAATCAGAAATGATAATCAATACTACAGGGACTTATTCCTATTCAAAATATATGAAAAGCATATTCATTGAAATAAAGAGAAGAATGTGTTGAAGGATTTCTGTATTTAGAGAATTAAACATTTAATTTAAATATAAAAATTTCATTTTTTATATGGCTAGATTCTCACTAAAAAAGCAGATGAAAAATAATACAATGGGATATATACTGGTCAATATAATACCATATTACAAGTTTGAATGCCTTCTTATGAGAATTGAGGAACATATATTAAAAGGAAAGATTTTATTGAGGAAATATTCTCATACATTTTTTCTGGTATAATTTGCCATTTAATTCAGCTAAAGTGATTAATGATTATCTATTGTCTATATTAAAAAATTCATAATAAGAAATATTCACAATCCATCCTCCCAACTCATCATAGTTCTTATTGATAAACAGTTTTTCCTTAGTTTTATGAAATTCCCCTCTCCAACAATCTAATTTCATCTGCATATTAATGTTCTTTTCAATTTTATACCTATAGAGTATTTGGAAAATGTTTTCTAATCATAATGTTACCTCTGTTAGTAAATGATACAATTCTTTTTTGTATTTTTTTCATAATATTTTAGACCTTTCTCCATTACTGTATTTTCTAGATACTACAAAGATTTTACCAAAAAATATTACTGTTAAGGAAGACTTAGCATACTTATTTTATATGCTAAGTTGTAACTTGTTTTTCTAATAAAAACTGTGCCTTGATGAATTATTCAAGGAATGAAGAGAATGACAATTTTATTAATGCACTTTTCTTTCCCTTAAGATAACATTATCTTCACAATTTACTGAAGAGAAAATTAATTTCAATAGAAAATAAATAACATAAGACTAAGTGCAGAGTGCACTTCCTGATGCATTGTCAGCATTTTCCATGACTATGTATAATGCTAAGGGGAACACTAAACATTTTTATTTGCCTCCTAATTCATAGGTATTTGAAATTGCTGATATAGTTGATCAGATGTCACCTTGGGGCATGTTGCGGATCCCACGACCACTAATTATGATCCGGGCATTCCGTATTTATTTCCGATTTGAACTACCAAGGACCAGAATTACAAATATTTTAAAGTAAGTGTTGCTTTTTCCAGAAATTAATGGAAAAGTTTGACATTGTTTGTATGTTTTAGATATTTTACTTTTTTTTTTTTTTGGTCCTCAGGCGATCAGGAGAGCAAATATGGAGTGTATCAATTTTCCTGCTTTTCTTTCTACTTCTTTATGGAATTCTAGGTGTTCAAATGTTTGGAACATTCACCTATCACTGTGTGGTAAATGACACTAAGCCAGGGTAAGTCTGTCATTTGACTTCATTTTCATCTAGGTAATTATTAAGGAATTTCTGCAATTCTCATGTGAAAACTTCTTTGTCTTAATTTTTAAAAAAGTGTTTGTGTACTCTCTGTTCTGTATTCCCTGCTCCTTCAACAATGCTTTGTCAATTTTATAAGAAAAGTACTCAAGATAAGCCAATATGAAAAATGGAACCTAGTAGGAAAGTAGATTAAGCAACTTCAAAGTGTACATTTAGAACAATTAAAAAAATGCATTGATCTATGTCACTTTAGTTTTGTGTGTTTCACTGTACAATTATATTTCAATAAAATGTATTTTAAAAAATGTATACACTTAGAAACCTTCCTCAGTGTGTCAAATGAGGAGTGTATTGACACAGTTCTGATGAAGCTTCTCATGACATTAGAGTGGGCTACTTGTTAGGAAAATAACTCATATTTTTAAAATTATTAACTTTGGTCCTCCTTCCCTAAAACAGTTGCATAAATAGTTATTTTACAATGTCATTTCTAGACATAACAGTAATATCTATTGCATTAAATTGTCACAGGGTGGGAGAAAGGTACAATATATGTAGTTTATTATTTATTATATATTGTGCAGATATGGCCTCTACCACTTCCACTTGGCCAATCATTGTTAAAATACAGCACAGGGAGTGGAGGATGGGAAGAGAAAGCATAGTGGACTTATGGTTATTGACCTTACATGGCCCAAAAGTGTCTCAAGCATAGTGGACTTATGGTTATTGACCTTAAATGGCCCCAAAGTGTCTCATTAGATGTTGACTGCAAATCAGAGTTTGAGATCTAGAGAACACAGAGATGCATCCTTTACAGCTCTGCCTGATACAGTGTAAATACTAGGTAAATAGCACTTTAAGCTCTCTCTTAGCATTTAAGGAATTGCTTTTTTTCCCTCTTGAATAATTTCAACCTGCAGTTGCTTGAATAAGGTCAGAGGGCCAACTACTACATTTGTTGTCATAAATAATTACAGTAAAATCTGTGAGAGCTGCATATTGACAGGACTGCCTTGTTTTTCTGGGTCTGAAAAGTTGTCTTCCTTTGATAGGGTGCAGTCTTAATACTTGTCTGTTGCTCTTAGTGTAAAATATTTGAGCTTTCCTTCTCTTACACAGGTTCTGGTTTCCACCTTACACAGGTTGTGGTTTTTGCAAGTTTTACTGTATATAATATATGCACATCCTGAAGTGAGTTAGTCTGCCTTATTAATTATATCCTCCAAATGAGAGATAAGGCAGTGAAAAAACAAAACTCACTGCCATCAAGTCGATTCTGACTCATAGAGACCCCCATTGGGTTTCCGAGGTGGTAAATCTTTACAGAAGTAGATCACCCTGTCTTCCTTCCGAGGAGCTGGTGGGTTTGAACTGTCAACTTTCTTGTTGTTGTTGTTGTTATTTGCCATCGGGTCGGCCCCAACTCATAGCGACCCCTCCTTGGGTTTCCGAGACAGTATCACTACAGAAGTAGTAATGCCCAACCTTCCTTCTGAGGAGTGGCTGGTGGGTTTGAACCGCCTGCTTTCTGGTTAGCAGTCAAGTGCCTTATCACTATGCTACCAGAGCTCCTAGGTAGCAGTAAAATGCCTTAGGCACTATGCCACCAGAGCTCCTTTAAGACAGTGAAAAGAAGAGCAAAGATCAATGAAATAGACCAAATTTTAAACTTATAAGAATATGAAAGGAAAACATCTATGAATAATTAATGACCATGTTATTTTGTTAATAAATTAATTCTGAGTTTATTTCAAATGAGTGATGGGCATTTTATCAGTCTCTTCCAGTAAATTTGTAAAATTTATATTATTTAATACAAATTTTGTTTCTAATCTATACATATGCAGTAAATATTGTTTATAACAATCAGACCAAAATTTTCAAAATTATTAAAACTAACAGAACTGATAATAAACCATAAGCACATTCTAAAATACTTGCATTTAAGTCTATTTGATAGTACTGTAAATATTCCTTTTATGCAGCTGATCATTCCATATACAAATAGTTGTCATTATTGTTAGGTACCATTGAGTCAGCTCCAACTCACAGCTACCCCTCCTTGGGACATCTAATGAGACACTTTTGGGCCATTTAAGGTCAATAACCATAAGTCCACTATGCTTGAGACACTTTTGGGCCATGTAAGGTCAATAACCATAAGTCCACTATGCTTTCTCTTCCCATCCTCCACTGCCTGTGCTGTATTTTAAAAAGGAAACACTGCCCGGTCCTGCACTCTCCTCACAATCCTTGTTATGCTTGAGTCCATCGTTGCAGCCACTGTGTCAATCCATCTTGTTGAGAGCCTTTCCCTTTTTCACTGACCCTGTATTTTACCAAGCATGATATCCTTCTCCAGGGAATGGTCTCTTCTAACAACATGACCAAAGTATGTGAGACGAAGTGTGGCCATTCTTGCTTCCAGGGGGCATCCTGGTGGCACTTTTCTTCCAGGACAGATTTGTTCCTACTTCTGGCTGTCATGGTATTTTCAGTATTCTTCACCAACATCACAATTCAAAGGCATCAACTCTGCTTTGGTCTTCCTTATTCCTTGTCCAGCTTTCACATACATATGAGGCAATTGAAAATACCATGGCTTGGGTCAGTCGCACCTTAGTCTTTGCTAGATATCTTTACTTCTTAACACTTTAAAGGGGTCTTTTGCCACAGATTTGCCCAGTGTTATACGGCGTTGGATTTCTTGACTGCTGTTTCCCTGGGTGTTGTCTATGGATCCAAGTAAAATGAAATCTCTTACAGCTGTAATCTTTTCTCCATTTATCTGCTTATTAGCCCAGTTGTGAAGATTTTCATTTTCTATGTGTTAAGATGTAATCCATATTGTGTAAATGCTATGCAAATAGCACTTTAAGCTCTCTCTTAGCATTTAAGGAATTGCTTCCCCCTTCCCCTGAATAATTTCAACCTGCAGTTGGTTGAATAAGGTCAGAGGGCCAACTACTACTGTAGTAGTACTGAAGACTGTGTTCTTTGATCTTCATCAGTGTTTCAAGTCCTCTTCACTTTCAGGAAGCAGGGTTGTATTATCTGCATGTACAAATGGTAATGCATACTTACATTATCAAGTCAACTATATATGAAATTGTTAGGACATTTGTCAAGGTAATCCTCTATTGTCAGAAGCCTAACCAATGAAGATTCATATTTGAATAGCTGGGAAAAAAAAAAAAAATACAAAAATACTAAACATTGGGCATATTAGCATAAAGACAGTGTGGCCCAAGTAAATATAGGAAAATTTTTTGACAATGGAACATGGATTCCCAATTGGGAATTTCCCTTAAACCTCTGAGCAACTCAGAAAAGAGCAAAGTAATGCAAAGTGAAGGTATAAGCAATCTTTCTCTCTGATATCTTTATTACTGCTCCTCTCTTCCTTGCTTACCACCCACACAGGACTCCTCACTGTTCCTTGAACTTACCAGGCTTACTTCAGGACAGAATGATCTTCCTCCCATTATCTTCCTGGATAATTCCCTCACTTCAAGATTTTTTTTCAAATATCATCTTTTCAATGAGTTGCTTCTGGCCTTCCTAATTAAAATTTCAATTCATGGTGTTGTCCCACAAAGCACTTGCAAAATCTTGTATACACAACAAACACATCACATTTCCATCAAGTCAGACCCGAGGCAGTATCACTTTGGAAGTAGATTGCCCACCTTCCTTCCAACGAGTGGCTGGTCAGTTTGAACCACCAGCTTTCTGGTTAGCAGTCAAGTGCCTTAGGCACTATGCCACCAGAGCTCCTAAAATCTTGTATGCTGTTCCATTTTTCTTTTATTTTATTTTTCCACAATTTCTATTAACTTCTAATATATTACATAATAAACTAATAAACAAGAATTATTGTTATCTCTGACCCAAGGAGGTAAAGTCTATTAAGAAAGATTATTTTTTCTGTATATTTCTAGACTAGGAAATATGCACAAATTCTCAGAAAATATGAATAAATAAGGTAACTTCCAAAAGCATCAGTACAGTTTCATTTGTTAAATGGGAAAGCATACCTATTTAGTCCATGTTGAATTAATTCATTTCATTTTTTTTAAATTAGTAGGTGTATTCATGCATATCACAGCTATTTAGAGAAATTTCCCTTGTTGTTGTTGTTTTTGTTATGTGCCGTCGAGTCGGACTCGACTCATAGCGACCCCTCCTTGGGTTTCCAAGGTAGTATCACTACTGAAGTGGATTGCCCCATCTTCCTTCTGAGGAGTGGCTCGTGGGTTTGAACTGCCAGCCTTCTGGTTAGCAGTCAAGTGCTTTAGGTACTATGCTACCAGAGCTCCAATGTTTAATTAATTCATTTCATTTTTTTTAACTTAGTAGGTGTACTCATGCATATCACAGCTATTTAGAGAAATTTCCCTTAGGTGCATATATGTGTGTGCTGAGAAATAGATGTGATATGCAAGAATAGATTGACAAGGTAGGTATGCTTTCCCATAAACTAAATTGGGATGTATTTCTCTCTCCTTCGTTTTCTTAGAGTAAAATTAATGTAGGAGTGGTATTATTTCTTCCTTAAATGTTTCATAGAATTCACCAAGGAAATCCTCTGGCCCTGAAGTTTCCTTTGTGATAAGGTTTTCCTTTACGAATTCAATTTCTATAACATATATAGAGACACTAAGATTTTCTCTGTCTTGTTCTGTCAGATTTGGTCAGTTTTATCAACTTCTTAATAGACTGTAATTTATAGGCATGCTGCTGTTAGAAATACTACTTAATTATCCTTTCTATATCTGTAGGATTCATGGTTATAAGCCATTTCTTTTAATTCCAAATATTAGTTTTTTGTTTTTTTTTTCTTTGTGTGTGTAATTCTTGCTGGTCCATTGCATTCACTTTTTCATGCATTTTTTTTTTCTTGGTAATTTAATTTTCTTTGTTAGTTTCTATTATATTTACTTCTGTTTTATCTTCACTATTTTATTCTTTTT